TTTTATGAATATCATGTTGCCTTTATTACACTAATTCGAAGCTTTCTTTATTGAGGTGCGATATTCCAACTTCTTCTATAATACAATATGGCTATGGTTATTGAATGAAGCTTTATTATATATAGGCGAGTGTGCCTTTCATTTTAATATTTTAATTGTCTTTTTTCATGCGAAGATTGATTTGTATCAAGCAGTACTTTCAATTAGTGGAAATAATAATAACTGTTCAATGTAAGAGGGAACAATACATTGGTAATATTAGTAATGCCTTCAATAAGAACTGTTCTCCTAATCAATTACTGATTTTCCGTTTAGATTCTGGCAAAAACATCTTCAAAACAAATGAATGGCTCTATAAATGAAATTTGCTTGCTCTCTTTGAATCAAACCCAACAACATGGTCAAACTCAAATATTATCGCAAGTAAGTGAAGCAATTGTACGATTTCATAGATGAAGAGTGTAAATAGATCAGGAACGGAATCTTCGAGCAATAATAACCCTGAAGAGTGCTACTTTAATACTAATTACTAAAAGTTCAATATCTAGTAGAAGTTTAGATGATTATTATAACATTACCGAAGAATCATATGATAATTTTACTTTAGCATTTTACGAGGTTAGCATGAAATTCTAAGGAGTTTCTTAGTAAGATAGATGGATTTAGAGGCTTTCTGGATGTATTTGTTTTAAACCGCTAACTACAGTCCTTTACGAAGTTGCTTTGTTTTCTGGTGATTTAATTATCTTCTCTCTCAAATTTCTCTTCTCTTCGTATGCCTTAAGCTGATAATTCTCTTGTTGATTAGCTAATTTATTGACGTTTCGAGCGATGAAATCGATCTTCTTCAGAATGAAATAGGAAATGAATGCAGAAACAGTTGTTTTACTAATGACTCATCCAGTTGTCAATTTTTTCTTTATTTTCTTTATAAGTATTATATTAAGTACTGGTATGGACACCTAAATATCAAACAAAAGAAGTTCTAGTATATAGCGTCTTTTCCGTACCAATACTGTAATACTTATAAAGAAAATCAAGAAAAAATTGACAACTGGATGAGTCATTAGTAAAACAACTGTTTCTGCATTCATTTCCTATTTCATTCTGAAGAAGATCGATTTCATCGCTCGAAACGTCATTAAATTAGCTAATCAACAAGAGAATTATCAGGTTAAAGCATACGAAGAGAAGAGAAAATATTATACACAATCACAATAATTGGAATCAATCAACCCTTCTAAAGGGTTGATGAAAGTGCAACGTATAGCAAACCCTTTAAGGATTTATGAAATTTATAATCCCTTTCATAAACCCTTCAGGGCCAGTTTTTGCAACTCATAAACCCTGTATTCATCCCTTTTTTTAGGGTTTTTGAAAGGGTTTATAACACCTTAATAAACCCTTTAAAAGGGTTTGTGACACGTTGCACTTTCATAAACCCTTTTTTCGTTTTTTATTCTACGGATATTTTTTACAGTGTAGCTCGCTATGGTGCACCGGTTCGATTTCGATACAGAGTGATGTTTATTTTCGAATTTTTTGGGAACGAAAAGTAAACGTGTTAAGATGCGTTTATCTCCTGCTGCATCCAAAGACAACAAAACCTGAGAACACGTCATAATCCTTTTGCAATATAGAAGAGTTTGCACGCATCTAATTTTTTGAATGTGTCCAAACGCATAAAATTGTTGCATTTTGGACGCATCCAGACGCGTCTTCAATTGTAAACGAGCTATGACCCGTTCAGACACTGAATGCGTGCAGATACGCCAGACTAGTCTTCACGCGCCAACACCTACGAAAATGTTGCATTCTAGACGCATACAGCATCATCACCTCCAAACGCTCCGAGACGCGTTCTGAACCAAAAAAGCGTTACATGGATTGTCCAAACTCTAGTAAATGAACTTGCCTATTCGAATTGATCTAAAATATTGTATCTTTCATTTAGAAGTTCCATCGCCGGCTACAAAGAAAGTTAAATCTTGTGGCGGCAATGCTTGTCCCGCGTGTGGCAAGTGCCGTGACTGGTATCTTAGCGGCAGCCGTTGGCAGAAGCGTGCTGATGCGACTTGCTCTGGTACTACTCGTACAGATACTAATGGTCATCCTGATGGTGGTGGTTCTACTCGTACTTATGTTTGTGATCATGGATCTGCTACTGGTTGGAATACTACTGGTACTACTTCTACTCGTGATGATCATGGGGGTCGTTATGGTAGGGGTGTTTACACTGTTACTCGTGGTACTGCTGATACTTCCAGTGGTCATGATGGTTTGTGCACATGTAAAATCGAATAAGGTAGTAGATTTCGAAAACAAATATAAATCTTTATTTAATTGTTATTTTAGGCTGTACGATATAGAGGGAAGGGAAACTGGCAGTTGAACGAAGAGTATTCAGGTTTTGATTTACCGAGAGTAACAATCACGCTATATTTGTAGTTTTTGTTACATATTTCTTCTATTACCTCCTCCTTTTTCTCTCTGTTCATTCCTTTTTATCGAAACTTCCAAAACAAGAAAAATAATTTACAGCTCTCACCAATATCATCGCCTTAAATACTCAACATGTGGAATTGAAGAACAGAACAAGCACATATGATCGAATGGAATTAGAAAGGAAGAACAAACATCCATATGACAACAAATCATAGTCTTGAAATAATGGTCTCCTCTTGAGGGTAGGGCGAGTCAAGCTGTCATGATCGCGATTTCGTCCTTGCTTACGAAACTCATCCAGAGTTGCAACCGATAACGGTAAACGACCGGTCCGTCCTGGTCCGGTCTACGATTTGGGGTGTGGGTGTGGGTGTACTTGGTTTCTTCTGATTGACACCCAAAGTCTATAAGAAGATATAGGAGGATATGACAGAAGCCAGATTCACCGGTTGCATTTGTAAAGCAAAGTATTTCTATTTGACACAACCTTCGATTGAATAAAAAATTTAAATATTTGGTCTTGCAGAATGCTTTGAACTGTGTAGTATGAGATAGAAGCATGATGGTCCCGATGTAGACATCTTACTTCAGTATAATAATGGTATGATGCCCTAAAAATTCCACGAGAAGGTTAATGGAAACAGTAGTGGGATCAGTTCGATTCGATCTGGGCTGATCAAGAGAATCTTCAGTCTATAATCACTTCATGGATCCCTGGCCAGCGCCGGAAATTTTTTGAATTTTCAGAGATTCCCGTCCTGCAAATTTGCAGAGAATCGCGGTGAATTCATAAAGTGATTCTGGACTACGGTAATGCTAAAAGTAAGCATTCTGTTATATGATGGGTGTGGGTGTGAATCAGGAGATAATTCCCAGCCACACCTACACCAAAGTATATTTTCCAATAGAATTTAAGACAACCGACATTCACAGAGAATAATAGTAAACATGAGAAAGACAGTGATGACGAACAAAAAAGGACTCGGAGTTTCGACACTTCTAGTATTGATATTTGGTCACTAAACTATAAAAAATGATACTTTTCTTGTATTTTCAGTAAATAAGAGTGAGAGTAAAATTGAGAGTGGAAACGTGTAAGAATAGTTAACTTTGATTGATTCAGTCCACTTTAGTACAATTGTCTGTAACGCGTTTAATGCATTCTTCAATAAACTGAATCTTTCCTGGATCACTGATGATCGAATCTCTCTGATAAATTTCCGCCACTTCGATATATCTGTTTAAAGCTTGTTCAAAATTTTTCATGGCTTCCCATACCATACCAATACGAATTAATGTTTCGATGTATTCATCAAATGGTAAACGGATATCTTGTTCTAATGCCAATTCATAATTTTTTACCGCTTTTTCGTTTAATTTTAGTTCACGATAGCAATGACCGAGTTGCATGTAACATCTGGGTATAAAACATGGATCAGATGGAGTACTATTGAATAGCTGCAGGTAACTTAGATTCTTCTCTAGAATTATGATTGCTTGATCATATACTCCATTTTTTATTAAAAGATTCACCATGGGATATACTGAATCCAAAATCTGATTTACATCATTAAGAAATTCCGTACCCATAATATAAGGGATAAGTTGGTTGAATGGTCTATTGATAGACATTTGAGAGCATGCCTTTTTTACTTTCTCGGTAGCTGCAGAAATTTTTGCACTATCTTCTCTGCCGATTGATTCGTAAACAAAGTCTGTAGAAGGTAGTTGAATGCCAAACTTTAATTGTGTCATTTTTTGGTCTAGAATCATAGCTCTATTTTCGTCACCCTGAGCCAAAGCGACACCATATAAACCATGGTAGCAGGCATATTTTTCATCTAGATCGTCGTATTCGAAAAGCAATCGATTGTATAATTCATTTGCTTCATTATATAGTTGATTTTCAGTAAGAAGCTTACCAAGAAAAAGCAGCGGATTCGTCTGCGAACGCCATATAGATTTTAGTGTAGCAGGAATTTTCTCAGATTCATTCTTCAATGTCATTTCGAATACGAATATTGTTCTATTATTCTCAAAGATAATATCAAAGTTATCAATGTTGAACAATTGACCTGGAGCGAACAAGACTTCTTTTTCTTTTGGAAATTGACTGACCTTCGATATGTCAGCAAATGGAAAGTAGGACAGTGCATCTTGTTTTCGTGCAGTAATTTTGAAAAGAATTACTGAAGGATCGGTACCAAACAGTCCACCAATTGAACTGAATATAAAACCAAGAGCCTGTTCTTTATTCTTCGATGTTGAAAAGAAGGCTGTAGTCATAATAGCAGATTTTTGACAGTAAGCTAGAAACAAATCTGCCATCTCATACGAATTGGCGATTTGTCCTCGATATACAATTATTGTTTGATTATCTTCATCTTGTGCATTTAATTCATTCATCTGGTCACAAATATCTTGAAAAATAAAACGAAATGATAAGAGATGATGAGTGTTTCTTGTACGCAATGCCTTATTGAGTGAGTGAAAAATAAATGACTCTTTAGTGTAATATAATATTGCATTATTTGGCAAGTATGTTTCTTGAAATGTTTTAATAGCTGATGGAGCAGCCCAATTGTTGGTTTCAAATAGTTTTATAAGATCACTTTTGTCAGATGGAAACGGTGGAACATTTCGTAAACACATAAGTAGGTAAAAACGAAGGAATAGATCACCATTGATTTGCTTACACGAGCGTTCGATAGGCTCTTCATATTGCGGTGTCTCTTTGTCGGTTTCTTTGTTGTTTACCAGTTCATAAGATAATGGTTCGCTGAATTTTGTTTGTTGTATTACGTGAGTGCTCGAAAATTGGTCTAAATAACATATTTTCTCATTGACTTCAATATCTGCCATACATTTGACCTAGATGATGTCACCGAGTAATGTTAGAATCATTCTATTAACTAAATTTTAATGCGCGGAAAATATACCATGGAAAGTAATTATATTGCATTACTCTTAGCTGAACGGTAAAACTTGAGAAAGAAAATTTGGATGCCTACATTTTGATGATAATTGCTCAAGATTTCTCTGTATATCGACTTCCTTGTATACATCGAATGTTTTGCTTTTAGACAGAAAAATATGTACAAATATTCAGTTGTTTTTATTCAATAGAAACTCATAAATTGTTCTATTTTACAGTTCTTCTTGTCAAATAGTTAGAATTAGATTCACTGTATCATTTCTAATTTTACTTTACCACACCTTCACCCTAAATTCAGAGAAGTATACAAACTTTTATTTTCTCATTAGGACATTATTGCACATGTATTTGATTTTCTTTTCTTTAAATCTAACAGAAGATGTATATGCTACTCATTGCATGTGTTGCAAGCAACGGCGACCATCTTTGTTGTAACTTCTCTTAGATTTAACTTTCAATTGACTGTGCATCATCAATGAATCTTGCTATCAATGCTCATATGAGAATATTTGAATTCATTTCAGGCCGCAGTTGGTAATTTACAATATGGTAGTCAATTCGAATCTTAAACTTAGAAGAATGATTAGAAACTTTCCAGTCTTCATAGATTAATCTCTTGAATTTCCCTATTTCAAACGAAAATCCTTCAAATTTCAGCGTCTATGGCTAAATAGATGAATGTGATTGTAAAACAAAACAGCCAACAACACATGAACACTTTCATTATTAAATAGTACCTAGTGTAATAAAGTTCACTATGACTACAATAGCTCAAAATGCATTTTGTTTTGTGTCTGCCTTTTAGACGTCTGTCTATCAACATAGTGCCATTCAGTTTACTGTTACTATTATTTTTCTATTAGAAAGTTTTGCAACACTTCAAATGAAAAATTCAGCCATTTTCTATTTGATTCATATTGCGAACGAATAATGTGTAATTTTTTTACCTTATCATATGTTTTCATTAATTCATGTTCTTCAACTTTGAATGGCGGTTTGCTCATGATGATAATTGAAGAAACCTGTGAACATGTATGAGTTGTAGATACAAGATCACATACTAATCCACCTCCGACCAAGATAACGATTGTAATAAGTGGATCCAAAGAGACTTTGTCTATAATAAACTCGAAACATTCATCGACGTTATCAAAAACATATGCGTTTCGAATAGAATTTTCATGGCTTGCTGTTGTTACACTCTTCAAAGTTTTAGATTTCTCTTCATCGTCGTGAACTGCGATGATGATAAATCTTGATTCAATGGTTTTTATGTGACAGTCTATAGCCTTTTGAATGAAAATGCTCATTAAATCACCAGGTTTCTTTGATTCAGCCATATCGGTGATTGTGTACGGTTTGAAAAATGAAATGTAACAGAGACAGAAATATAAAATAATTGAACCAAGTGAATATGGATCATCCAATCACGAAGCACAGAAAGGAAAAGGTAAATAAACTATGTTTATGCCGCTGAGGAAATTTTACAGTCGCATTATTTTATTATGGTCTTTTGCATCACTCTTGGCATTAAAAACACATCATCTCGTTTTTTCCTTCCATCTCAATAGGCTTTTAAATTTTAGCCCTACGGAAATATTTTTTTCTTGATTCTCGTTCCGGTAAAAAATATTTCTTCTCGTTCCCACTATGCTCGGAAAGTCGGGTGTGGGTGTGGGTGTGCTCAGAAAGAAAAAAAGTGTCATACTTAACATTTTAGGGTTCTAGATTTGGGTATCATTTTCAGAACCATTTAAGGTACAAGCAAAATCTGGTTCTAGCTGGAACTTTTTCCTATTTCTTCCAAAAATAGTTCCAGAGAAGTAAAATGTAGTCCACCACACTCAATTAGTCTAGTACTCCAGGCTAATGCTTTATCCAACCGTTAATTTCATATTAAATCCCTTATTTCTATCCTTAACCACTATTTCTATCATTAACACTAACTTCTATCCTTAACCCTTATTTCTATCTGTTATATTTACCTAGATTTGTTGTGAGTAGAATACGAGCTAGCACTTTCTCCGTTATTCGCACGAAAACAGCATCACTGTTAGTTGATGTTGAGACCATCCTAAACAAAACCAAAAAAGAACAGTGACTTATATTGTAAGATTCAACTTACCATTAAATGAATCATTCACACATACCTGAAATATTTAAAAAAAACACTAATTCATTTTATCATATCAAACTTGCATTTCAATTGATTATTCATGCATACCTATCTACAGAAAATCTTGAATTTATTTTATCAGATTGACATTACCTGCCTATTCATACAGGTGACATATCGGAAAAGATAAAAAACAATCACATTTCAAAAGATGCGACTAATTGTTGAATTGATTTTGCGGACATAACTACCCAGGTCTACCATTCAACTATCGCATTCCTAGCATCGAAAAAATGATGACGGAATCGGATTCCTAGACCGCGATAACCTATTTCAAACTCCGATCAGAATATAGATCGGAGTTGAAGTAAAAAGTCTAGTTTTACGGTCCTCGATTTTTTTATGGACCCAATTTTTGACCACTGGGAGCTCGGATTGAAAAAATGATAACGGATTCGGAATCCTCGGCCTAGGTATCCTATTTGAGATTTATATTACTTAAAGCACATTTCGCAAATATATTGTCGTGCTTCAAGCCAGAGCCATCTTTGAAAAAATGGTTCAGCATTAAAAAAATGGTGCCGGACGGAACCTTTTCAAACATCCGGAATTATTTAGGATCTGAGATGGTTCTCTAAACTAGCTAGAATTCTCGATGGTTTATGCATAAGCTAGTGAAACCTCAAAAGGTTCAGTATCTTGGCTGGAACCATAAATAGTTTCATATGACACCATTTTTTTCCAGAGATCAGGAATGCAAAAACCAAGTGCTAACAAAGATGAACACGATCAAAGCGATGAAGAGTTTGTAGGGTGTGTGTGTGGGTGTAGTAACAAATAGTCAAACTCGCATGCAACCCCACACCTACACCCTCAACCAGAAAGTTCAAGCACAAGAGAGTCAAAAGCCAATTGAATCACATTATTCCATGGGCAGTGTTGCGCAACTAGTGTTAAATATTCTCAAAGCATTACTATGAAGATCAGGCTGGTTGCGTTTTAATCGCAGCGACCTTCAGTTTGAAACGATTCACTTTACGGAACTATTACCGCTTTCTATCGTGTTCACAGACAACTAATCTGATGAGAATGGGGGTGTTCGATTCGCTTGATAACACCCGCTCAAGCCCACAAAATTTCCATTTTAGGGTTTCTCAAAAAATTATCGGTAATAGTTAAAATAATCACATGAAATGAAAAGAAAAGGAAATGCACACTAAGTAAAAATGTGTCGGATGTGTCGTAAACTACGACACAAAGCACGACACATTTTTCACAACACATCCGACACATTTTCATTGGTTGTTTTTGAAACGCTTATTTCGATATTTTTTTTAATTTAATTACATATATCTCTTTATTTTTTTGAAAATTCAATCTGATCAGATCCCAAGATCTGGCTGATTTGGAATTGGTCCGATTCCTATCAGACTATCCAGTGTAGTCCTTCCCGGATCATGGATCGGGATGACAATTCCTTGATTATAAAGTAATCAAGAATTAAATTCAAAGAAAATTTTACTTCGAGAACTTATCTTCCATGCGTTCAACGATGTTGCTTATATGTCGCTGTATGTTCATAACAAAACGGTGAACGACTAGTCTACTGACAGAACGCGAAAAATATACGACACATTTTTGTAATAGAGAGCACAACACAAAAATTCACGGCACATACAACCGACGCATTTTTATTTAGTGTGTGGGTGTTTTTCCCTTCTGTTTCTTCTACAAAATCTACGGCAACTAACAGAACAAGTAACAAAAGAAAGAAACAAATTTGCTTACTTCGTTTCTCTGTTGAAAAAATTCTTCAAATATCGACACAATTGAACAAAAACAGCAAAGTAAACAAGGTTTTATTTTTCTAATAAAGTTACTGATTATTACGCATATAACTGAATGATGAAAGAGAAAAATCAAATGGAACCAACCGATTCGCATTGCTCGCACGGTGATGCACAACTATCAAACTGAAGAATTTACGGCAACAACAAAAAAAGAATCTGAAGACTGAAATTCTTCAATAAAATTGCCAGAATTGTCTTGAGAATCAAAAATAAACCTTTTAATTGTTCTGAATAAGCGGCGAAGAATACTCACAATAACTAGAGATGTAACCTACGAGGGTGAGACGTCATCGCTGTGTCGGCGAGAATTTTGAGAATTTCTCCGCTGCCGGCGAAGATTTAAAAAAGTAAAACATTTTTCAGTACCGCTGCCGACCGACTCAGTAGTTTACATCTCGAGGAATAATGGCACAGAGTAGAAAAAGGAAGCTGTGCTTTATCATTCCATTACTGTTGGGAAACTCTGGGCGGCTGACTTTGTATTTGTTTTATTAAAAAGCTAATTTTATATACATATAATCAAAAAGAAAAACATTGAATTAGTTTTTAGCTTTTTATGCAGAAGCGATATTTAATACAGCAAAATATGAAATATTTATTAATAATATTATTTATGCATGTGCTGTGATCAAAACTGATGCAATTTACGTTTGATTTCATGTTATCATCATTCATAGAACTATGAAATGCTATTCAAAAAAATATTAATACAACAAAGTAAATCTTTAATTATATATAAAAAAGCTGTTAGCGCAATCCCCGTGGGATTAAAAGGTGAAACACGATGAAACTCCTTTTCTAGAGACCGATTTACTATGAAAACGCCGAAAGAAAAAATATCGATCATCTAATATGTCGAAACTTTGAGATGTCGTTATTGACCAATATTGATTTTCTTCGCTATTATATTTCTCGTGTTTTCTTTCGTATTTTCTTGTATAGTTTCGTTGATTAACTAATACTTTTCCTCCAATAAGTCATTGTAAGAGTGAACATTCTAGAATATCAAATAGACAGAATATAAAGGAAACAAAGCTACTATTCACATACGACCCGATCCACACCCTCACGTTGAGCAATGGTTGGATAACTAAACATTGATCATCGCGAAAAAACATAAACTTATATTAATCACGCTCATCTGGACCTATCGAATGATTCGTTTTTGTGAAGTTCACAATATTTTTTCGAAGAGAATGGTGAGCATTAGTTTAAAAGCGAGATTTTTACGGCTCCTCACCTCCTCGTCCCCCCATTACAGACATTAATGAGCTTAAAATTATGCTAATTAGGAGCTAGACTAATTAGACTTCTATTTCTTCTTTTTTTTGATTACAGAATATAGGGCAAAAGCAAGACCTACCCATTAAAGACCATAGCAACTAGTCTCTGCCGTTGTTAAAGATACCAGCTAACAATTAACTCTCAATTACAGACATAAGCAAATACTTAATGACCTGATGATAGATTTTGGAAATTAAGGCAAATTTCTCATTTTAGTAAGCCTAATGGATACACGTGTGAGCTCCACACTTTAGCTCCAAAGGGGTTGCAATGACAAAGTTTTTTATAGCTATTTACCGTCATCATTAAATGTATTTTTCCTTTTTCTCAATGAAATAAAATCAACATTTTATATTTTTCATTGATTCGACAACTTTTTCCCTTCGACATTTATTTTTCGACGTTTTTTCTTTCGGCGTTGCCAATGCATGCCGTATTACAACTAAATGAGAAATTCTGTTTTTCTTTCTTCTTTTCATGTCTGCTCAAGAAGCACATTTATTCAATTTCATTGAATAATAGAAAATGAAAATGTATTCTATGACTGCTGTTGTTTTAAGTAATAAAATGAGCAGCTTTTTACTCAGTAATTAGCTAACACTACAATGGTAAACAGAGCCAAAGCAGCTGAGCTACAGGGACCTAATTCTGATCTTGCCTGTCGGTATGTCGAGAGGGTTTGGATATTGGTGTGAGTGTGAAGAATGGACTTACACTCACAGCTCGGCAAACTGATGCACGAACTGAGTTACGAAAAAGTCTTTTCAGATGCCGCCCACTGATTTCAACGATTTCATGCCTACAAATAGTACATAGTGTTCTACCCAGTCAGACAAGTGTTGAAAATAACGATGTTTTTACGCGTTATTTTCAACGCTTGTCTGACTGGTAGTAAAAATCCTAAAAGGATGTGCGTTTATTTTGAGATATGGTGAAGTTATAGAGTTTTGAATGTGTCTATTTTTAAGAGATCGGTGTAGGAAACCTCGAGTTTCGAGAAAATTGTATTTTCGGATTTTGATCCAACACTTTTTGCATATAGAGACCACGATTATACTCGTGTTCATTGGAAAATTTAGAAGTTTTGAACGAAGTCCTGCCAAGATTTGAAACTTGCAATTTATAATTCTTTTTCTACCGATAATCTATACACCGTGCAGTTTTTGAAAACCTTGATATATCGGCATGACTTTGTTCAAAACTTCCGAGTTTTTCAATGCATACGAGTATAATCGTGGTCTCTATATGTACAAAGTTTTGGATGGAAATTCGAAAATACAACTTTCTCGAAACCCGAGGTTCCCTACACCGATCTCTTAAAAATAGACACATTCAAAACTCTATAGCTTCACCAAATCTCAAAATAAACGCAAATTCTTTTAGGATTTTTATTAGAACACTATGTACTATCTGTGAGCGGGAAATCGTTGAAATCAGTAGGCAGCATCTGAAAAGATTTTTTCGTAAATCAGTTCGTGCATCAGTTTGCCGTGCTTGTGGATGTAGGTTCATTCTTCACACTCATACACACGCACACGCTCTCTGATCATTCTTTTGAAGGGCGTATCGACGTGAAACTTAATTATGTCAACCGGTGACAAGCATCAAGATGCAAAGAAGCATGAGAAATCTGTTTGCTATGAAAATAGCCTACTAATTTGGGTCGCTTCTGCATCAGAAAGCGTCAATCAATATCAAACCAATATCCGAGAATTAATTAACGCACACTTTTATTCTGATATTCTTCAATGTTTGGACTACATCAAGTCGGTAGTGGACGAAAAAATGCTTATCATTATTGCGCCTGAATGTGCAGAAAAGATCATTTGTGCTGTTCATTTAAGGCCGACTGTCAGTGCATTCATTATATTTGACCCAAATAGGCAAGGAAATTTTGAGTCCTCGAGAATATTGGCCTATTCAAAGCTTATTGGAATTTTTACAGATATCGAATCGCTTCATTCATCGATTCGCTTTGTTATGCAGCATATAGAAAAACAAGCATTAGCATTCAGTCTCTTCAGCCAAGACAAACAAAGATCTGCACGAGACTTATCCAAAGAATCCGCTTATTTTCTCTGGTACCAGTTGCTGATTCATGTACTCAAGCAAATGTCGCCTGACGAGCAGGCCAAAAATGAAATGCTAGAAAAATGCACTGATTACTATCAAAACGATAAAGTCGAATTAAAAAATATCGAATTATTCCGAACTACATATACATGCAATCAAGCGATAGCATTCTTTACCAATGAAACATTTCTATATAAGCTTGTTAACAAAGCGTTGCGTACAGAGAACATTGAACTACTCTATGCATTTCGTTTTTACATAATCGATCTGTGCAGCGAACTCAAACGAGAAAGTGAAAAAATGATTGGTCAAGGCGTTCAAACTTTATACCGTGGTCAACAGATTGGAATACGAGAGCTTGAAAATTTAAAACGTAATATTGGTACGCTTATATCACCTAACGGTTTTATGTCGACATCACGTACGAAACAGAAAGCTCTCCGATTTGCTCGAAGTGGAGCAGAACACGATGGAACATGCTCGGTATTGTACGAAATTCAGGTCGATCCTGCACGTTTAAAATCAGTCACGTTTGCTGATATCTCTGGTATGAGTAGAATACAAGAAGAAGATGAAGTACTTTTCAATCTCGGAGCCATATTTCACATTGACAATGTAGGCATATATGACGAATCACTTAGTATTATGAAAATTAGCATGACAGCTACCGATGATGGTAAATATAAGGTAGATGATTATTTAAAAATGCAAGAATCATTAATGGAAGAGTATACTCCATCAATTTTCTTCGGTCGATTACTCTGGAATGAACTCGGTCGCTTAGATCAAGCTACTGCTTACTTTCATTTACTTTTAAAATCAGATTATAACGATACTGCAAGCGTGCTGAATAATTTAGGAATTGTCCAGGCTCTTAAAGGTGATTTTGCTGTTGCACTCGACAACTGTGTACGTGCACTCGAAATGCGTTCTAAAAATTTGCTAAAGAATCATCCGCACATTGCTACATCGTTGCACAATATTGGTGCAATCTATAGTGCTCGTAGCGACTATGTAAATGCTATTGATTTTTACGAGCAAGCACTAGCGATCCGTAACGAAATCTATCCTACGGACAATGTTAATAAGGCAACGACAATGGCAAATCTTGGCGCCACTTTCAAGTTACAAGGAGACTTTTCGCGAGCACGCACTTTGGTGCAAAGTGCACTCGAAATGCGCCGGCGACTACTTCCTGAGCCACACCCACAAATTGCGTCATGTTTGTGGCATCTTGGCAATATTGCAGAAGCACAAAGTGATTATTTAACGGCACTTTCTTTTGATCAATGTGCTTTTGACATGGATGAACTCGTATTACCTGCTGATCATAATGAACTAAGCAAGGATTTGAATATTCTTATGCGTGTTTATAAAGCTTCAGGTGATATCAAAGGAGCTATTAATCTATGTGAGATTCAACTAGCCAAACAGAGAAGTATTTTTGGTACTAATCACCCACGTATTGCACGCACCTTGATGACAATGGGACATCTTTTCGAAGCCGATTTCGAGCAACGCATCTCCTATTATAAGCAAGCACTAGAAGTTGATCCAAATTCTATAGACTGTTTAAAATGGCTCGGTGCCAGTGCTTATGGCTATGAAAAACTCGACGAAAGCCTTTTGTACTGGAATCGCGCTCTTGATATTGCGCTTCGCGATTATTCTTCTACACATACAGACATCGCCCAGTTATATTCATTTATTGGCAATGCATATTATGATGCTCAGAACTACGAAGAAGCCTTGAAGGTGTATAATGAGAGTTTCAAGATCTGGAAAGTGAACGATGACGAAGATCAGTGTAAAGACGTACAGAAATGCATCTTCAAAACTGAAGTACGTTTGAAATTAAACCGTCACAAAAAAGAGTCCTCCTTTGAAGCGCATGATACAAATGCTGTTTCAAACAACAAAACATTATCCTGCACCATACAATAAATCGACCGACTGTGTCCCTATTTTCGTTCGGCAGAAGATATCTAACAAAGAACAATTATTCTCGAACTGCTGTGTTGTTTAGTCTCGCGCTTGATTCGATTAAAAGTTTTAATGTGAATGATATCAAAAACATGGGGGTGTGGGTGTGCGATGTGATGGTGGTTGATGATGACCAGTAGAAGGCGATCCCTACCGATACCCACACCGGCACACTGTTAACATTGTAGTGTTCTCCTACAATGCTAAACGAAGATTAAGTGGTATTTTCTAGTATAACGGTAATACATCTGCCCGGATAGCAGAGGATGTGTGGTTCGAATCCCACGAAAGGATTATTTTTTTCTCCGTTCTGTGGTCATATCATCTCGCTGTTAGTCCAGCATCTAACATTCAAAAACGGAAAACGGTTATATGTCACGTTGCACTTTCATAAACCCTTTTTTTTACAGTGTGTCAGTGTTCAGCTACTATCATTAAAAGTTAGAATTCATCATCAGTCTTGAGAGTATGGATGTGGATCAAAGAAGACCGACACCTAGATATTGATCCACAGCGCCAGTCGAACACGTACCCCCAACCTCGATAAATCTTGAAACTGGTGATTTTCTCTAAAAGAATAGGAATCGACAAATGTGAATGTCATTTTCGTATCCTCTCAAGAAGGAGAACTTTCGCAAGCTTCGATGGTACATAGGAAAGGAATTTATCGAGATACAATCGTTTTCAGCTATGTCTCGAACATAGGGCACTCTGAATGATGCTCTTCGCGCAAAATGTTTGTTGACTGAAAACATAACAAATATTTTCTTGTGTACTATCATCGCTGATATTAAATTACATGAAAAGAAAACTTCACTAAATAGATACACACTACGATTGTTTGTCTCTCAGGTTGTTTCTAACTTGCACCAAAGTAATTCCCAGTTGATTCCTTCCACTACCATCACCACCGTCTGCCCAATAAGAATCTTTTGTCGTATGTTCCACCAATTGACGATTTCCAGTTGATAGTAGTAACTCTCGAAGCCGAAAGTGTTGTTCAAACTTAGCCATACATGCTTTAAGCATGATTCCATCTTTCACCTGTGCCCAATCTGATCGTACTGCTGATCGGTGTTTTCGAGAATAAAGAAGAGCTTCTATAGGTTTAGGTAAATGCAAAACATTTTGAAAATGTGTTTCATCGGAGATAAATTTCTGCGCTTGAAAGTAATTTTCAGTGGTAGGCCAAGTATATCCATCGAGTTCAATGGGAGATGGATAGAAATTACTGAATTCACCAAATGGCTGGTTACGATAATAAAAATAAATTGGACCTTCTTCCATGTTAGATTCAGAGAATAAAAAATAGTCGTTTTTTTTCTGCAGACACTTTCTTTTATTTACTATACAGCATGAATATGTAAACAGTATTTCGTAAGATACGTAAAGTATGACGTCTGTTAGAATGATTCATAAGTAATTGCACAATAGATTTGATCAATGACAAATAATGATCCTGTACAATTTCATTACTTCAAAATCACACTGCAACGATGAAGTCATTTTCACAGTTAATATTGAACGTAGAAAAAGTAGAGCACAATCGTCTTTCTATCCATATACACATGTCTGCACTATCAAACGAAGCGACACACGAAAGGCTCAAAGATAATATCGGGTGTGGGTGTAGGCGTTTAGTTAATACTCAAGGGAAAAAACACCCACACCCTCAAAAAAATATAATTTCATATATTTTCTGTGATTTTTCTCATGCAACAAATGTTTGCTAAAATATTCATGAAAGTTATATATACATTTCGATGTCATAAGTTATCCAATGAAATAAAAGAGTTATCATCGTAGTTTATATTACGTTGACAGTCTTATCTGGATTAGATTTTTGAAATATAAATATTTTATTTATATTTATTCTTTCATATACTGGTTAATAAAGATAAATTAATATTTCTAGTACTGTAAGAGTACAACATGAAGCAAATAATTATTTTTGCCGAATAAGAAAATGCTAGCACAACTAGCTTTTTTTTCCAAGCGACCGAACGACAAACTATCTTATTTTAGAAGCATCAGTTCTCTTCTTTCAGCGTTATACTTGTTTGTCTTTTTCTCTCCGATGTCCATACTCTAATGAAAAATAAATATGTTGATATGTCAGCATCATTTAGCTAGCATGGTACTAAGGAAGGAAGGAAGCAATAAAAATATGTTTAGAGACATGGAAAATAACATAAATTACATCACCGCCTCGTATCAAGGCTGTATCTTGGTCGCATTCGTCATCCTTGTAACGAAAGTAGTAATGCAAAGTTTGTAATAATATCTCTTTCGCACTTGTCATTGAACAGATAAGTAGTAATAGAGCTTATGTTTATTAAAAAAAATAGAAGTTTCATCAAACTCTCTATTGTAATCAATGTAAAAGATTGTCTTCTCTAAATTTAATTGACTTTGAGAGCTATCGTTGAATAGTATTTTCTTGACATTCTATACCATATCATTACTATAAATTATCATTAGTGGAATACACATATATTTCTGAAGAAAATAGTGAGTTTAAGTTTTAATGGGAAGTTTTTATGCTTTCTCCACTCTCAGTACAGACACTCTCAATCGAAAAATACACTTCTTCGTTTGAATTCATATACGAATCTTTCAAATAGTTATCTCACACATGTCGCTCTTGTAATGATAATTTTCCTAAGTATAATTTCGATGATTTTAGTTATTGAAATCAGTTATTCTTCTTTTTACTCTTGTTTTAGCGTGCAATATTTTGAACTGTGGTACCATGAAGGTACAACATCTACTCATAATGTTGCTGGTATTCAAATGGCAAGTATTGGCAAAAGAATATACGTCAAAAGAAGGCTCCAAAACATCAGATGTAAAAATGTCACTCAACAATAATTTCACAATCGCCGCTTTCAACTCTGAGAAATTCTATGTACTTTATTCCGTGTCGAACAATTTGATAAAAACATATTATAAGATAAATTATCACGAAGATGACGTCTATGTCTACAGTCTCTCTGTACTAAAAACTAAATCTGGTGAAGTTATATCATTTTTACAAGTCGTCAAGAATATCAAGTCGAATTCGGTCATACTTACTCGAATCGATATTAACTTATCCGAGTATCACAACAGTGCAAATTATCAATATCGCAAGAGCATTGACAAGGTTTTGAAAAATATTGGTGAAGAACACATTTTAATCAAAGTCGATACACAAGAAAAGTATGCTTACGTTTTTGCTGATTCCGTTATACTTTCATATAATTTATTGACAAATGAACTCTACGAGAACAACGAAATAAATGTTGTACATTGTGATGGAGATAACGGATCATTTATCCCTCATGCAGCTGATCTAAGAAATAAATGGGTTGCTATGGTTGGCTTCCATCGAATCCAGAATAGTTCTCGCAATAAACCATGTCTTTATATCTTTAAACTTCCATCTTTAAGTTTAATACAAGCACGAAGTCTTGATAAGAGCAATATCTTAAACTCTGAAAACATTGGCTATAATCATGAATCTATAATGTCAGCATCAATTGATCCTTCTGGGATGATGGTAGCCATTGGACAAGCACAATTGGACACAGTGACAATTGCCTTTATAAATGACAATAACGCACCTACTAACATTTCTCAAATGTTCCAAATAGTTGAAGATGTGAAATCGATTGACTTTGGGCGTTCAGTAGCTTGGCTCGACGATAAGGGAACACTCGCTGTACTCGTGGGCAAGTCGGGAAATCGTACTGGACTACAGTCTGAAATTCAAGTCTTCACAAATATCTCTTCTCATCCAACAAGTGTTTCTATACTACCCAAATATATTTTTCCTAATAATCAACAGACTCTACATGCAATTCCATATAAATTCGGCTGGCGTAGACGCTCTTACCTTCTTATCCTGGTACACACACGCAACTTATTAATCCTTCGTGACGACGGCAAACTTATACATATTCCATCAGCTGATCCTGGTTTCTGCTCTATGGAACGTGTGGAAGCCTCCGAAAATTATCGCGAATTGTTAACTTGCCTCGATAGTGATATATGTGCTCCGCTTCCCTTCGCTTCCCTTCGCAAGGGTTCTTCAACGAATGAATCTACTTCGTTGGTTTATTCTTTTTTATCGAAACCATGCGTGAGTGGAACTTACAAGAATATAGATGGCTTTGGTCCTTGCACAGTCTGTCCACCAGGAACAAAAAATCCGGGAGGTAATAAGTCATCTGATTGTCAACCATGCAACCCGGTCGAATTATGTTCGCTCGGTGCTAGTAGTGAAGTTAATCTCACTGTGTTTAATTCTACTACGCAAGTATTCAGCTATCCAGATTCACCTATTATCGACAACTATGATGATGTATTGCTACTTAACTTCATTCCTAATACATGGGCAGCGGGTTGCGTCTTATCTTCGCCTCTCTTCATTGCTGTTCTATTCATAATACTTTCTTTCATAATATGGCTCAGTATGCTAACCATTAAAAAACGACAGCTGACTTCATTTGACCCTCATCGGAAACGGGCAAAACGCATTCTCAAGCACACTGACCTTATCGGAGAAGGAGAACGCTTGGTTGGTGGTCTCGCATCACTTGTGATTTTTGCAATTATCATATATTCTATCGTTTTTGCTGTCTATTACTTTTTTTCGTATTCTTCCGACAACACATGGATACGTGAAGCATGTAACGACAGTCTACGAAATACGAAATTTGATAATGCTTTGCAGTTGCCCTTACCGGATCCCCAAGGAAATGATTGGAAAATTTTCGAATTGCTCAACGACCAAAACTTCACCATGACTGTCGATTTAATAAATACTGGAGCAAAATGTGATCGTATCGACGTTCATCACAATAAACGTACAGGTCATTCTGAAAAAATAAATAAAACATATTGTAATGATTTAAACAATAATTTCACAACATCATTCAGTTTTCAAATACGCACTCATACTTCTACTGCTCAAGTCACTATCAACGGACCTTATTTTATTGGAGCTATTCGACTTTGTCTGCATGGATTACCAAAGTATGTATATGATGAAGAAGAATATCGTGAACTAAAGGAACTCGATGTATGTACTCTGTTCCATACAGATAAACAGACTATTGGAATTTCAACTTATTTTAATGTAGATCTCGTTAGAGTTCTCAATGTTACAAAACCGCTGAAACGCAGTCAACATACAAATTATAGTGGTGTATGGAAACCGATTACTACATATCTCGATAATCTGTCTGAGGAGTTGTATTATGCTAAATACGGGGAATACTTGCGATACGCTTCTGATCAGACGAAATTCACTGTAAAGTTCAAAGAACAAAACTACTATGTTCAGAACAACAAATCACCGATTATTCGCCGTGGAGCAATTACTTTTCATACATTTATGTTCATGTTTTTGCTGATTGATACAATTGCTATGTTATTTCTTGTTTACAAACTATGGGGTCAGCCTCTGGTACGATGTCTTCTCCAGTTATGTTATAAGTCTCGTGAACATGAATTTCAATCGAATCATGCAGAAACGGCTATTGGAGTAAGTTATTCATTCTGGTATTTTCTTAGTATAGTTCAATGGGTGGAAGAGTATATGTATAATGGAGCCTTTTTTTTTTATCTCTAATTTGATTTTGTAAAAATTATAATCGCAATGATTGTTTTCTTAGAGAATACTTTATGAGAAAAATTGTTTCTTTTTTGTCTGTTGGCAAGATAAAAATGTTATCTTTACTTTTATACTCTTACTCCGTTTTCTATAGTTATTTCAGAGTCGATGTGCAATAGTTAACTAGCTAGTGGATTGCTGCATATCTATTTTAGAGTAATATTATCAGCTAAAACGTATCTAAAAATCTTTCGGTTTCTAATCCTTAAGTATCGTCAAAACTTAATGAAGAATCTAAATTTAAATACAACTTCACTGACGGATGTATGTTTTATTCTGATATGCAAATTTCAATATTTTCTATGTTCATTATACAGACAGCATCTCCATCGTAACTCTATGGCTGGCACGGTAAAATTTAAAGTCTAGAGATCATTGAAAGCAGTCTACGTATAATGATGATCGCAAAGATTAACTTGCTATTTATAATTGTATTCAATATTTCTTCTTAGATTTCATCAAAATTCACAACGAACTATCCTACTAGTCAGAATATTCAACAACAGTATTGCCCGAAGAATGCTGTAAAAAATCCAGAAGAGTCAACAATTATTGAATATTCGGAGCTCCCTCATTCTCTATCGACTGGTGAGTGATAATCTTTGTTATATAAATCGTGTCAGACAATATGAGATGTAATTCCAAAGTCAAAAATTGGTTCTAATAAAAAGTAATAGTTCCTTTTAAATTTTCTTCGTCATTATTTAATTACTGATAAATCGATGAAGAGTTGATCATTTCTCAGAATACTTTTTAATCGCTCTCTCGACCTCATGGCTTTCATGTCGCTAAAAGGTGCAGTTAACTTTAGGGTAATTGAACAAGTCAATTTAAGACTTTCAGTAATCTAAACCACCTGAAATATTTCAAAAGTATCACGATTTCTCAGAGTTTGACAATTTAAAACATCGAAGCTCATATTGAATGCATGTTTTACATACAAAAACTTACCAGAATCTGGAATCGTATAAGGTTTCTAAAATACCATAAAATTTTCGCTTTTTAACATTTGGAAAAATATAATCGATTGCTCTTCTTCTAGTTCAGCCTCCTTTTTCGCTGGCAACACCATCAACCACCCAAGCTGTTCTTTCATCTGATTATTCGACTGTTACGTGTCCACGTGAATACTTCGATAAACGATTCGACATATATGCCGAGAAAGTAGAACATCTTTCGAACGAAGTTGCCGTCCTGAGAAATCAAAACGATGAATTAAATCGACAAATTATTTATCTCAAACAATACCAAACCAATACTGACCACGATCATTAGGAATGAAGACGAGACGATACTGCTAGGTTGCCTCTCTTTGTCAAGAACAACAATGATACCGACAACTATTTAGTGAAAGAATCAGTCGATCGACAAGAATTATATTCATATTTATTTAAAGATGATTTTAACCAACGCAAAACAGCCCCTAGCGTTAGACATTACTTTTTTCGGCTTTTTCTGTTTGATCAGTATATTTTTCTGTTTGTTATACTAGAGTGGCAACAATATTTACTTACTCCTTCTTGTAACTTACACTCCAATCTGAACAACGTTCACCACAGTTTGATAAAGGCTTGCAAGACTTGACTCAGAAACATACTCCAAATAGCCAGTATCGTCCTAGAGATGGTCTATAGAGAAGAAGAAAAACACATGAAACAATTCATTAGTAGAGTGCTCTTATTTATTCACGATGCATTTGAAATAAACTAATATAGATCTAAACCGTTTTTTTATTATTAAATTAATGCTATAGAGGATGTGGGTGTGGGTGGGGTTGAGATCTGCGGAACAAGACCAGGTGAGTACATATATCTACCCTCATACCAACACCCTCGAGATAATGTAAGAATAAAGTATGTAGTAACACAGGAAGATAACTCATCATGTATAAACAATCGATGGTGAAAAACGATAGTGCCATACCATAACCTCAACAGAACCTGCTCGGTTCCCTATTATATAAATTCAGCTGAAATAGAGAAATCTAATTTTGACAGATTTGTTCAAATGACATCACGTGAATAAAATATGATAACTTTATTTTAATAGATTTGTTGAATGAAAATAATATTTAAAAATGCATGTCATCTAAGTCAAGATAAAGTTTTTCATACGAGCATTGTGTTGTTATCAAATAAAACACCGTAAATAAGAATCACAAAATATAACATAACAGGTAAATCTGTCGACTTGTTGATTTGTCAATAGAAAAATTTTGTACGCGATGACTTCCATAATCGGTAACATAAAGATTTTAATCAGCATCAAATTATATATCAGTAGGAAAATTGAATTGATCGGATTGATAGCCGCGGCCACGACCACCTACAATGGTGGTATAGGTGGACGCGATGCCAATGTAATTGTTTACTCTACTTTCCTAATGTACTCACTTGAATCTGTTGATGATCATAGTTACTTATTAACGTAGGACGATTTGAATTCTCTTGATGTACTCTTTTGTATCTTATAATAAGCAATCGAGCGATAAATAAACACCATCTTCGATACAAGATTTGTTGTGAAGATTTTTATAATGACGACATCGGTATTGTTGTTCTCAAGAAAAATTCCAATGTGACTGATTGAATCTTTCTTCTTCCTAAGTAATTATATTCGAATTTATTGAATGTAGATAAATACCTCATTGAAAAAAGAAAAAAATAATGCTTCTGATGAGTTTCGTGCATCTGAAAACAACTCAACTTAGTTTTCTTTTTTTGACTTTTCTTATATCAATGTGATGTGAAACTTTGAAGGAAAGAAAGAAAATTGAGATAACAGCATGCAACTATGATTGCATTCTTGTTGTGAAATAATATTGGATACTTATGTAGTGCTTAGCTTGATGAATCATTACTTCATATAATTTCCCTCAATAGTGACAACTCATGATGCATATTTAGTTTTCATACTCAGATGCAATCACAGCCAGCGAAGGATTTTTCCAATTTTCTACAATATAAATAGTATACCAGCTTTGCATATTATCATCAGTATCTTCCGTTCGCAACACACTGAGTATGTCTTTCAAGCCACAAAATACGAGAGTTGCTGCGACAAAGCGAATAATAAGGTATGAAGACATATTAATGAATGTTTTTATTATTCGAATTTGAATATGTTAAATATTTTTTAGAGATTTGAAAGATCTTGACAAACTTCCCATACCAGGGCTCGGTGTTACTTGTCCTGATGAATCTGATCCATTTGTTTTACATTGCAACGTATGTATTTCAGCAAATATTTGATCTACACATCAAAATAATTGATTTGTTATTTAGGTATTGATAAATGATGGTCCCTATCATGGAGTTATGATTCATTTAATTCTTCATATTCCAGAAGATTATCCGTTGACAGGCCCAGCTGGAAATATAGCGCCTGGCTTAGAATTCGATTCTAGATATCATGGTCATATTCATCAAGACTACAGGTATGATCATATTTTGATAGTGAACTCTGTAAGTTTTATCTATCACTTTCAGAAATGGACATTCTTTGTGTAATGATTTATTGACGAATTTTGCATTCTACTTTCGCTCTGTCGATGGAGGTACCACCAAAAAAGCCAGTGGTTGGAGGTAACTAAACGAGTTGTAGACATTGTCTAAATTTGAAAATCATTTTCTCTCCTATTTCTAGTCCTGGTTATACTTTATCAACAGCTCTCCTCCAAATCGTTACATTTTTTGCAGAGCCTGATCTTATTTCTGCGGCTTCTTCAGAAAGTATTGTTTATCTCCGCAAAATGGTGAAAAATTTTACATGTACAACGTGTGGCCATTCTTATGACAATCCAAATCCGGCTATAGTCGGTTATAATGAGAAAAAGTCAGATAAGCAACAAACAGAAGAAGAACTAATGAAATCCAAGCGTGAACTAATGGAAAAATTAACATGCGGCGTAACAAAACAAAATGTCATAGAAGATCAAATTTGTCTTGGTTATCCATTATTAGTTACACGTGATAATCGTGGTCGACTGTGGCCAGAAATTGTTTTGGAACTTATTTCTTATGATGCATACGTTGCAGAAATACAGAAATCCGGTGGAGAAAAATTAGATTTTTATGAAAATTTAAAATTTCGTTCTGTCACAGGTGCAGATTACAACCATTGGTTGCCTTTGTATATTAATGCGAATCATTTTCGACAAGGACAAACAATTATTCAAAATAGTATTAGTGTTATTTATAATGGTACTGCTCGAGGTAGTGCAAGATATGATTTTATGCCAAACATGGCATTGAGTGTCTTGACTACTTTAATGAATAAATCAGCTGTGCGTTTATTTAATGGTCAAATGTATGAATCAGCACAAGCGATAGAAGCATATTGCCATTTTTTACGTTTATTAATGCATTTTATCGATATTTTTCCTGCATTAGGTAAAGTACAAATAGCAATAAATTTTGTTAAAGAATATTGTTCATATTTGTTTTTTTGTCGTCTTTTAGATTCTAGGATTAATAAAATTGTGGAAGGATTCACGACAACATTAGCTGGCTGTAATAAAAAGGTAGTGCCAGATATTGGTGAATTTTTGATACAAATCGCGTTATCAACAAAATATAAATTCAATGATGTTAAAAAATATGTCTACGAAGAATATTTTGCTCGACAAATATATTGGATTCAAAAAAATAGTACAATTAAAAATTTGTTACATATAACGACAGCAGATTTACCTGAAATATTTCAAGCAGTAAAAGTATCAAATCATTTGTTAGTATTCAATCTGGAAATGGCTGAAACATTTATTTTTCCAGGTGTCAAAGAGTGAGTATCTGCTTTTCGCATTATCAACTATGTTGTACTATACACTTTATCTTTAGACGTCTGGATCGATTATATGGGTATCCACCTACAGTTATTGTCGAAAAATTTCAAACACGCTTAAAAGCTATTAAAGCAATAGATCGATATAGTGTGTTAATGCAAGCTATCCGTCTTAGTGACACAATCAAATCACCAGATGACATGATTGATTTGATAAAACGTTCCATACATGTATCAAATCAACAAGGCTATACCAATATATGATAGACAATTCAATTTCAAGGTCGAAATTGATATAATTCATACTCATGAAGATATATCCGTGTGGCAACGCATAGATGGCAAAAATATGTACTTTACTAAACATGCATGTTCCACAGTAGTAAATTATGTTAGACATCATTCTTGGTTTTTTTATCATTTCGGCGAATAGCCCCACATATCTTAATAAATGAAAGCGAAAGAATAAATAGACGACCTCTCTTGATTGGCATCATTCTAAATTTGTCTTGGGGGTGTGGTTCCATTTGATCAGCAATCATTTGGAGCATGGCTCGCAGATAACATGTCTGTTCATGTTCATCGCCCAATTGTTTAGTAGCAATATTGAGAGCTTTCATGCCAATGTCAAAAGCTTCTGAATATCTTTCTAATTTGGAAAGTCCTAAAGTAATATGATTGTAAGTGGCAACAAGCGATGGATGATCATCGGGTAATGAGCGCTTTTGAGTTTCCAAACATTTATTAAGCATGGATAATCCTTCTTCATAATATCCATGTTCAATATATTCAATCGTACCACGTTTTGGATCTTTATCTTTAGTACTTTGGTTCATTTTACAACTATCAAATAGTCGCTTAAATGTAGGACTTCTAATGAATTTGGCTGACGAGAGAAAAGATAAATCTAAAAGCGATAGATATCGCTTGACCAAGGACGTATATGTGAAGTGTATCCCATTGGTGTCACTAGTTGATGGAATTGCAAACAATCTTAACATGCAAGAAAATCGAAAAAATTTCAAAATCATTATAAAGTATTTTTTCTTATCGGTGGGTGGGCGCCGCCCACCATAGCCCCCCCCTCCTAGATACGCCACTAACACACACACACTTAATCTTGTAGTGAAATGTTAATGAATGCATAGAGTTTAGTTCATGAATGAGTGTCAACAATGTAAAAGAACACTGACGGTGTTTGAACCAGCGTTTCCGACAATAATATCCAGTTTATTGTCACTGTTCACGTCAACTACTGCTACTGCTCGTGGATTAGCGCCAGTTGCGTAAGTAGATTGAGTAAGAAATGTGCCACTGCCATTGTTGACGAGAACACCGACATTGTTCGAATTATAGTTTGCGACAATAATATCGGGTTTAGTGTCACTATTCACATCAACTACTGCTACTGAGCGTGGCCCAGAGCCAGTTGGATAAGTAGTTTGAGTAAGAAATGTGCCACTACCATTGTTGAGGAGAACACTGACGGTGTTAGAATCATGGTTTGCGACAACTATATCGGGTTTATTGTCATTATTCACATCAACTACTGCTACTGAGGATGTCCTATTACCAGTTGGATAAGTAGTTTGATTAAGAAACATGTTACTGCAGGCTATCAAATATAAATACTTTTCTTCACATATGTGTATTCATGTAAAGGCTAGGACTATAACAGTTTGGAAACAGTTCCGAACTGGTGAACTGTTCAAACAGCTCTCGTGAGCTGAACTGAACTGTTCGCAAAAGTTCATCGGTTCATTTGAACCGGGTTCGTGAGCTGGAGCTGTCGTAGTCCTAGTAAAGACACTACCCTATAGTCACATTCTATTGCCCCTCTATAACTTTATTTCAGTTCGAATGTAAGTGACACATAGAATAATCAAGTCTCTTGTTTTGGACAATCTCCCACAGTCTAAAAC